TGAATAATATGTTTTACATATCACCATGGCAACCGTTTATATACAAAACATTCCATCGGAAATTTCAAAATAATATATAATTGGTTGCCATGGTAATATGGACACACACACACACACTGACATAATTCATTTATATATATTATATAGAAGATTATTTGGTATTTGTGATTTTTCTAGCATTGGTAAATCTCTCCGAACCCAATATTTAAAAAATGCGACGACAAAAACAAATATAAAAGGATGCACTCCCGTGAGCATGAGCATGACATCGGGCGCGTCCCCGGGTTGCGGATGGGGGAACGCCCTGTAGATATACAGGATAGCCGCGAAATAAGCCATTCCTTCGGGATGGACGAATAAGCGGTCGCGGACAAGCTCACCACCGGGGGGGAAATGATCGACCCCCGGTGTCCCGGTAGATCACACCGGAAGACAGACAGGCGACGCGAGGCTGGCGTCGTCGGTGGAGACCAAGCCTGCCTGGAGACAAAAATCAAGTGCACAAACCAAACGGATGGTTACTCCTCTCGAGGAGTGCAGGAAAAACAGGTGATCTATCAGCTAGGTCCCTGCAGGAGCAAGAGGTGGTTAATACCAGGTCTCTGCTCCTGGTCGATAAATCGTCTGGTTTCGCGCCTATAGCGGGCAGTACTGGGCACTCAAAAATATATATCAGAGGTAAAGACGAGTACTTGTGGTATGTAAGTACAAACATTTTACTTAATGCTTGAGAGGGAATACCTAATGATAGTACAAGGATTTTTCTTAAACACGTGCAGCGCACACGGGCCCCGAGCCTTATGCAAAAATTGGAGGGGTTATGTCTTAATATATTTGACTTCATAAAAGTCTATAATTTTTCTTCTTTTTTGCAATTTTTAAATTTTAGCTAGAATATTATTAGTTATATATTATTATTATTATTATTATTATATTTTAAAACGTTTCTATAAGTATTTGTTTTTCATATTCATGTTTTATTTCACTTTTTCTTAATCTTAATGTTTATATGTTTTGTATGCTCATAACTATATATTATCTTTTCTACCACTTATTATTATTTTAGTTTTTTATATTTTCAATTTTTTTGCAATTTTTTAGTCTTAGCTATCATAATATCGTATTAGTTATTAGGCAGATTATATTTTAAAACGTATATTTTTCTACCTACTATTATTCATGTTTTATTTAATTTTTCGTAATCTAATGTTAATCTTTTTTGTATAGGTACTATTATAACTAGGTATGTTTTTTTTTTGTTTTTTTTTCGTACCTTCTATTATTATCTTATTTCAAATAATTTGTCTAGAAATTAATCTATTTCTGAACGAATTCCAATAACTTGGAAAAGCCTATTGTTGTACCTATCCCAAAACCCGAAAAGGAAAAATTAATCACAGAAGGCCTTTACTAAATACAATGTTCGAAATTGTCGAAAAAGCATTGATACCCGGTTGAGATAGTTTCTCGATATTGATAAAATAAATTATTTTTCTACCTAACAAACTGGTTGTCGCAAAAATCGAGGCATATGCAAAAATCTACACTTCATTCAAAACGAAAATTTTAAAAACAAACCAGTTCTAGCAGGGATAGTGTCCCTCGATATATCAAAAGCATTTAACCATATTATGACACAACCTGGCGCCCTCGGGTACTACTGGATACCGTTTCTCTACATCGAAATATCACAAATTGAAACTTCAGTAGCATTAGAGCCCGACTTGAAATTGCCAAAAATCTTAGTGAAGCACTGAGTGTCTGAATCCAGATCCAGACAATACAACATTTTTTTTTAATTAACTAAATTGTGCAGGCCAGTATCTTTATACCTACTAAATACAATGTTCAAAATTCTCGAAAAAGCATTGATACTAGGTTGAGATGGTTTATCGATAAAATAAATACTTTTTCTCCCTAACAAACTGGCTGTCACAAAAATCGAAGCACACACAAGTATTCAAAAACATACATGTCATTCAAAATGAAAATTTTTAAAACCTCCGAAACGAAACTAGTTCTATTAATGAAGCACTGAGTCCAGATCCAGTGACAAAACTAAATTTTTTTTAAAGAAACTAAATTGTACAGGCCAGTATCTTATACTACATCCAATGTTCAAAATTCTCGAAAAAAGCATTGATACTCGGTTGAGATAGTTTCTAAATAAAATAAATTCTTTTTCTCCATAAGAAACTGGTTGTCGCAAACATCGAAGCACAAACAAGTATACAAAAATATACACGTCATTCAAAACGAAAATTTTAAAAACCTCCGAAACAAACCAGTTCTATGGATAGTTTCCCTCGATATACCAAAAACATTTAACCATATTATGATTTATGACTCTACCTGGCACCCTCGGCTACTACTAAAGATAGATACCGTTTCTCTGCGTCAAAATATCACAAATTGAAACTTCAGTATTATTAGAGCCCATCTTGAAATCGCATAACATTATAATGAAGCACCGAGTCCAGATCCAGCCACAACACCAATTTTTTTTTAAATAATATTTAAAACTAGCTGAATTGTACAGGCCAGTATCTTAAATATCGAAGCACATACAAGTATACAACAACCTACACGTCATTCAAAAGGACAATTTTTAAAAACTTTTGAAACGAAACTAGTTCTAGAGCTAGTTTCCCTCGATACACCTACAGCTTTTAACCATATTATGATTTATGACACTACCTGGCGCCCTCGGATACACGACTATGGATACCGTTTCTCTTCATCAAAATATCACAAATTGAAACTTCAGTATCATTAGAGCCCAGCTTGAAATCATAGACAATTTTAATGAAGCACTGAGCGTCTAAGTCCAGATCCAGATAAAACCAATTTTTTTTTAAATTGACTAAGTTGTATAGGCCAGTAGCTTTACAAAAATACAATGTTCAAAATTCTAGAAAAAATCATTGATACCTACTCGGTTGAGATAGTTTCTGGATAAAATAAATTATTTTTCTCCATAACAAACTGGTTGTCGCAAACATCGAAGCACACACAATATAAGTATACAACAATCTACAAGACAATTTTAAAAACCTCCGAAATCAAACCAGTTCTATTGATAGTTTCTCTGGATGTACCAAAAGCATTTAAGCATATTACGACACTATAAATGGTCCCTCGGATACTACTTTGGATACCGTTTCTCTGCACCAAAACATCACAGATTGGAACTTCAGTATCATTACAATCCAACTTGAAATCGCAGAAAATATTGATGAAGCGCCGAGTACAGATAAAGCAGCAGCAACAACAACATTTTTTTAAATATCTAAAATGAACTTAAATTGTACAACCTATAATGTAACAGGTCAAATTGTATGTATCATAATCGTACTATAAAGTATAGGTTGTTTGCGGCTTAAATAAAAAAAAAAAATTATCTTCTATTTTTGTTTTTGTTTGATTTTAACAGTTATAAATACAAATTACAATATTATAATTATAATATAATAGCCGTCCACACAACATATAATAAATAAAAAAATATAATTTATCGTGGCGATTCGTCCCGGGCAACGACGCCATGTCATATAATAGTAATATACCTTATATATCGTATGTCAGAGAAAATAATTCACTTACCTACCGAAATTACTCAGTACTAAGTACCCTACACATATTTTAAAATTTTACTAGCGGGAGATAGTTTCATGTCCGGCAACAGAATTAAAAAATATATGTAGGTATATAGTAACAGCGAGACAGCCTGAGCAGATTGTATCCAGAGACATAACCAACGTACGACTCGCTTAGCCGCCAGCCATCACACACAATTACACGGAGATTATCATTCTAGAACGAGCTGCAATTCACTCAACTACACAATTATCACGACTGTTCTGCTTATTTTATTTGGTTTTAATAAAATACATTTGATTACTATTTTAATTTGACTATTGTTTATTATAAAAGTATATCAGCTTTTGGATCCCTGAAGGGCTGTACGTAACAAGATCTCTTATGTACAATAATGAATAGTTTTAAACTAAATTATATTGACCAAATCATAGTTAGGTACTGTACAATAATAATATTAACTATAAAATATAAAAATATTTTAATCTTCTGAGATTTGCTTAAAAAGATACAGACTTAGGAATGGAGCTCTACCGTTTATTGAAAATGTCAATGAGATTTTGAATGAAACAGTCTGCGAAACAACTGAAAATATAAATAATGTGAGCATTTAACAATAGTGAAATATTTAGAAATTTAGTAGGTACAGAAATTATGGTAAATATCAATGACATTCTATCATATTATTATGTTTAGGAATTGGTGAAAAGCCCCAATTTCAATGGAGCCCCATTGGAAAATACTTTAATTCCATCTCCAGAGTTAAAAAGAAGAAAAGTAATTACCCACATATTATTAAATATAACTTATAAAGATCAATAACAGAATAATAATAGGTATAGTTAGAAATATTAAATCATTACCTACTATTATACATTATTTCATCTATCTAGACCACTGAAGCTCATTAGTTATTTCAAGTAGTTTTTATGGCATTGGATAGTGTAAAAATTCCACCAAATTGGTTCAAAGCTTTGGAATCGTTCAATAATTAAACCGTGCTCGTAAGTACAACCACAGACTATATGAAATAGTTTTCATATAGTTTTTGTTACAACTGACAACTGTTGTCCGTGTTCAAGATTTAAGATAATATTATGATAATATAATCTGTGATATATTATCACAATCATATTGATGATTGTGCTAAGCTGATATCGGTTATCACACATTTGTGATAACCAGATTACAGGTTCTTACGCCGAATCGCCGACTGCCGGCTGTCGAGTTATAATAGTTGGAATTTTTCATTTATTTGCTCATTAATGGCTTCATTGTACAATTAGAAGTCGGCAAGTAAATACTTGAACAATTTGTTATTCGATCTCGACTGTCGACGATCCACGTCGTGGTTTCAGGTCACCTACCTATTATAATATTTATTGTCTCGTCAGGCGTTTGCCATGTTCCACAGAATATTTCGATTGAGCAGTTCGGTCGGCAAAACCACAGTCTCGCGATCCCTAGCCGCCAAACACCATCGTCGTGACATGCACTGTCGCAAAATCGTGTACGAAGAATATGGCGATCCCATGAAAGTCGTAAGTCTCGTAGAGCAAACGCTACCCGACAAACTCGACGACGAACAGGTACCTATAATGCTACCTACTGATAGTCTTTACACAAACAACTTAATTATATATTATTTACTTGTTTATTCCTAAGGTCTTGGTGAAAATGATTGTTGCTCCCGTCAATCCTGCCGACATTAACACTATTCAAGGTGTGTATCCCGTGAAACCGCCGTTGCCTGCTACTGGAGGCTATGAAGGGATCGGCGACGTATTGGCAGTAGGACCGTGCGTTAAAAATCTCTGCCCTGGCGATCGAGTTATACCAGACGGTGCTATGGGTACTTGGTGTACAACTGCCGTGTTCGATTCTAAACTTTTAAGAAAAGTTAGTACCTACCTACCTAGTATAAAATTATAATATAACATGTTAACATATTACAAAACATGTTTATTTCGACTTGTAATGTTACAAAAATCATCATATTATTTAGTGCTCATCCCCATTTTTCCTTTAAAAATTAATTTATTCAAATTCTTATTTTTGGAATTTTTAAATATACTTACCTAGGTATTTTAAAATTTTAGGATTTTTAGTACTACTTAAGGAGTGTCCTGTACTTACACAAACTTCTGTTTTTCAAATGATAACCACCAGTAATGAGTTGTTGTAATTAGTAAACGAACCTCAAATTATTTAGCTTATAATTTTTCTGGAAATGTTGACGTATCAAAATCAAAATTTGAACGAGTAGTTTTTGAGTTACTTAGCTTTGTATACTAAAGATAATGGGTTTGGAAGACATGGTGGCTATAAAAATTTAAAAATGCTAGTAATTTTATCAATATTTATAATTTACAAGTACCTATCGATAAATTATAATAAATACTAGATATTTACATAATATATTTTATATTAGTGTAAAACTATTTTTAAGGACTATTATCTGTATCGGTCTAGCACACCAAAGGCCCGTGGATCAGTTTTATTAAGGAGCCCCATAATGAAATACAAAATTTGCTTGACATTTTGGTGAAATAATACTGACCATCTTTTTTCCTTTAAAAATACGTTTATTCAAATTCTGATTTTTAGAATTTTTGTACTACTATTAAAGAGTGTCCATATTTGTGGCAATACAAACATCTATTTTTTCAAATGAGAATCTCCTTTTTTTACTGCAAATTATTTAGCAGATGATGTTCTTGTAAATGTACTTGTATCTAAATCAAAATTTTAATAATTAGTTGCTGAATTATTAAAACTATACTAAATATAATAATCCTTAAATATGGTTTTACAATAAAATACTATAAGTACCTAATATTGTAGTACCTATTCACTATTCAGTATACATACTTAATCATTTTTACAAATCATCATCAATGGTAATTAGTACTAATTAGTAATTACTAACATTTTAAAATCATCTAAGTCCCCAAATCTACTTAGCCAATTTCCATATACGTATTAGTGCACAAAGTTATATAACTCAAAAACTACTAGTTCGAATTTTTATCTAGATGCATCAAAATTCTCAATAAAAAAATATATGCTGAACAATCAAAAGAAAAAAAAGAGGATTCATACTTGAAAAACAGAAGTTTGTGTTGTAACAACATCCTCCTTAAATGGTATAAAAAATTTTAAGTATTCAAAAATCTTCAAGTGTATTTAAAATTTAAAAATTCAAAATTTGAATATAATATATAATATAATTTAAGTAAAAAAATATAATGAACATGCTTAAAATATCATTCTGTATAATATTAACGCATAGCCTGACAAGGGAAATCATTCGTTTAATAATAAACTATGAAATTATTTAAATATTTGAAATGGCAAAATAATAAATAATAATTATTAATTACACAGAAACGAAATTACGAAATCAAAAGTATAATACCTGTAGAATATTTATTTGAAGAAAAATCAATATACTATAAGCATAATATTATTCAAGTAACCTTTCAAAAGTAAATGTCCAATCTTCATCATTGTTTTATATTTATATATATATAGGATATTAATATATTATAAATCAAAAATATTTTTGTATGCAACATTTTCATGATTGCTAGCTAATGCCAGGTTGTGGCCTTGTCCAAGCCCATTGTTTTTAAGGAGAGATATAAAACCTTCCTTATCAGGCCAACACTGGCTGTTATCCTTAATATAAACATTTTAATAATTAAGAAACTTATCTATCAAATTTCAAATTATATAGGTACATCAATATTTTCAACAAAATTACCCACTGAATAATTTATAGTAAAAATGATGGCCCTCATTTGTAAAACAGAAGTTTGTACCTCCGCAAGATACTCCTTAAGTACTGCAAAATATCTCAACAATTTAAAAACATTGCCTTAAAATATATTGAATTCGAAAAATGATATTTTAATAAATTCATTATTAAATAAAAAAAATAGGTTTGAGCATGCTTGGTGAATCAAATATTGAGAATTATTTGAGTATGTATGAAATACAACAATATTCTAAATACATTATCAGGTACATTATGATATGTATGTCCTATTTTGATTCTTGATTAATAATTATATTATTATGTTTCAGGTAAGTAAAGATACCAATGTGTATGCATTAAGTGGTATTTCTTCTAATCCGTGTACCGCGTATAGAATGTTACATGATTTTGTTTCACTAAACAAAAATGATGTTATTATACAAAATGGAGCAAACAGTGCATGTGGTCAGAACATTATTCAATTAGCAAACATTTTTGGCTATACAACTGTAAATATTATACGCAATCGACCTGAACCAGACTTGGAAAATTTGAAAAATCATCTTAAGTGTCTAGGTGCTTCATACATACTTACTGAAGAAGAATTAAGGTAAAATAGTAATTATTATATTAATTCAGTTTTTATTTTTGTATGTTGACTATCCAATGTATTAACATATAATTTTTTCTTATTTAGGACTACGGATTTGTTTAGAAGTGGAGTTTTACCCAAACCACGTTTAGGAATAAACAATATAGGCGGTAAAAGTTCCACAGAAGTTTTACGTACATTGAACAACGGTGGTGTGATGGTGACTTATGGTGGTATGTCGAGAGAACCAGTCATTGTTCCAACTGCATCTTTTATATTTAAAGACATTCAACTCAGAGGTTTTTGGATGACTAGATGGCGTAAAGAAAATGTTAACACTGAGCAATACAACCGAATGTATGATGAACTTTTGCAATTTATGAAAGATGGCAAGTTAGTTGCACCAGCTTATAAAACGTTACCATTAAACTCATTCAAAGAAGCGTTAAAAAATACTATATCATCCAAGGGCTTCATTGGTTATAAATACTTTTTAGATTTACAATAATGATTGCTGCTACTGATACATATAAGATTAGGTACATAAATATACTTGTATGTTTCAATAAAATACTCTTAAAGTCTCAACTAAATTGTATATTGTACTAGTGTATATATTATTTATGTATATTTCTAAAATTAATCTTTGTTATAATTTAATGTTAATTAATTTTTAAATAAATTTGTTTGAATTTAATTAAATAAATTAAGGTCTTGGTTCACTTATCTATATTATATAGCATAGGCACAACTGGAGCTAAATTTTTGGGTACTAAAATTATATATATTAAACTCGTGGAGGGCTTTGCCCCCCACACCACCTATTACAAATTTCAAAATCATTAATAACATGTGACGATCAGAGTTGGATGACCATTTGACTATAGTATTTATACACATAGGCTGTAGTGATACAAATGTAGCCAATATTGTGGTTTTTATACTTTACAATTCTTGTGTGGTGAGGGCATGGGTGCAGGTAAATGTTCTCACTATATATATTAAAAGATTATCATAATCACTATAGTTATTTTATTTTTATTATTAGTAAGGTAAATATAATTTATAAATAATAAATAGGTATTATACTATTGAAAAAATTTCGAAGTGTAAACAGACATGTAGTTATAACTGCTGTAATTATTAAGTACCTAAATCTTAAGGAATCAGACTAATCTCAGGTGTTTAAAAAAGTAAATAAGTATTTATAAGGTTACCATTTAAGCATTGGTGTACGTCAAGTAGATTTTATTCTATACCACATTACCACTCTCAATTCCTCAATGTTTATCCAGAATGGCCAGATTGAAGACTATACAGCAATAGTTTCTTAGTATTCAATTTATGATTATAAGCACTTCTATTCAGTGACTAGTTAAAAAGTTAAAATTTTAGTTACCTATATGAGAAACCGAATAAATATCCAAAATTGTAAATATTAAACTTCAAACGCTCTTAAAAATTTAATTGAAATTTTTTTTTTTTGATAAAGGTAGACAAACTAAAGAATCTGGTATTAAATGTTCAAATCTTAAATTTAAAAACAAAAATTTTTATGAATTTCTAAATGGAAATACCTAATTTGCAAATTTTTGAAATTTTTACGTATTTTATCAAAATTCGAACTTTAAATGCTAATAAAAAAAATTGTGAAAATGTATTTTTAATATTTTTCAACTACCATTGTAACAATATATTAGGAGCCTTGTATTCAATTTTAAAGCAATTTTATCCAACGAATAAAATTTTATTGACAATTATAGAAAAAAAATTAGAAACTGAAAATATCCGTTAATAAATCAACACAAGTTGAAATGCTTTGAAAATTTTATGGTGTAAAGAAATTGCTAGTATAAACATTCAATGAAAATTTCATGTATCTACAATCATTTGTTTTAGAGTTACACCAAAACCCAAAATTGATTTATTTGAAAACTAATTTTGTGTTAAAATTCGTATTTTTCCTAATTTAGTTTTCCCGGGCGCTTGAAGAAAACTAGGAATATTTTACTTTTGACACCCAATTAGAATCACTTTGCTATCAGAAAAGATACTATTGAATAAAATCTAAGCATTTTTACTGTCCAAAAAGGTGAAGACAAATACAAATAAAAATAAAAAAAAACAAATTGTAAATTTAATACATCAATCGCTCCTCTTAGAATCTAAAAGTGACTATTAACACAGTTAATATTTCCCTAAAAGTTTGTTTATATTTTTAAATAAGTTACACTTTACTCAATTAACTATTTTCTTAGGACAACTTAACTCAAACTAATTTGAAAAATATGACCAACATGCCCTGCTTTGAGTATAATTTAATGAAATATCAGGTCCTAATAATGTGTATTAATACAGTATGTTACGTGATGCCTAGTTAAACGTTTAGACTTTTTTCCAATATTTATAATCTTAGAACCATAAAATATATTTTTAATAATCAAATAGTGCATGTTAAAAAATCAGCAATGCCCCCCCTCAATACAAATTTAAGCCTTTTAATTAAGATCATAAAATGTAAAAGAGTAGGTAGTTAACTAAAGTAAATATTGTATGTTTCATTTCGAAATGCTTCGTCAATTTTTGATTATTTAAAAGTTAATTTTAAATCTATTATATGTCGTAAAATACGCCTTAAAATATTCAAATATTCAAATATCACAAAATACTTAGGTGCTTTATATAATATGTATTACTGTATTAGTTTATAATGCTACCTATAATATTCAGAAAAATATGCAGGGATCGGGGCTTTGATAGTTTTTCGGTCACTGATTATTATGATCACAGTTAATTTTTCATTAATCAATTTTATTGTTATCGAAAACTACAAGTAGCAACAGGTCATATTACGTATGTGGTACCTACCTATGTATATGCAATGGTTTATGCTATCCATTTTGTCCTGTAGTATCTACCATAATTATTACTATCTATATAATATAGTAAGTATAATATAGTGATTCATCATCGCGTAGTCGGAACCGCTGAACCTATAAGTATGGAATTTGGACAGTAGGTAGTTTTGTTTTGTGATGTAGTCACCCACTATAAGAAAGGATTTTCCAGAATACTCATTTCTAAGAGGTACTCAAACTGGGATTTTTAGATTGACGGTGGAATTTGAAATGTTATTTGTTTTATTGTTTACAAATGGTTACTATTAATTGCAGATTATAATAGTAATCTGTAATAGTAAAAATCAGTGTTTTATTTGTATATTAATGGTTGCCATTTCCATAACAAGTACTAATTAATTACAAATAAAGTACATTCCTTTGGCTGCACGTACAGTTACCGTAGCAACGAATTTTCACGAGTACACTTATTGGTTAATTTTTTGTGTGTTTAAGTGGTTCCCGCGATGATTTAGATTCACAATTGGACTCGGTAGGGCTCTACCCGAGGTGCTCTTACAGGGATTTTGAGATTTACGATGGAAAATGTTGTTTATAAATGGTTGCTATTGGTTTCAATTTATTGGTGCGATAAGCTTATTGGCGCATAGGAACTTCTATGTATTTTAGTAAACAGAATTCTGAATTATACACTTAGGTACCACGCGGAGTCCGAGATCTATCACAGGTAGATTTCCTACATTATAATATATACTGCTCACATAATCACAAACGAATCTAATATAATATAATTTACCCCTAAAAAGACATTGCTTCCACAGTGAGTTATACCCAAAAGGAGTTGAACCTAATGAATCTAATATAATATCATTTAAACCTAAAAGCAACTTGCTTCCACAGCGAGTTATACCCAAAAAGAGTTGAGCAATCACAATATTTTTCCGGGAAACGCCGGCCTGAGGTCAGCTAGTAATTAGTATAATACTATATAAAATGCCTGCCGTCGATGTATAGGTAGTAGGTACAGTCGTCAAATTTAGATGCGTAGTAGGTACCTACTTAAAAATTATAATACGCCATTGATCACAAAAATTAAATAATTATATAAATGTATATAATACCTATAGTTAAATGTTAAACAATTACTTAATATTGTAAGTCCCTACTACTATTACAATCAATGCGTGTAATATCATATATGGCTGCGTACGATACGATATCGATAATTATATTAATAACATGCTTACATGCCTATACCTACCTACCATATATGTGTGTTTGTGTTTGTGTTACGTTAACCGGACTGTCGGCCTGTGGTGCGAAAAACGGAAGGAGGCCATCCACCTCGAATATAAATTCGCACCGAGAGGATGTTCCCACCGTATCTATAGGTGTAGGTACGCGTAAAAAACAATAATAATTATAATGTAAGCATTAAAGTATTATACCTATTATATTATTATTATAGTATACGTATACACCGCGATGACGGAGAGCGCGCACACAATATTATATTATATAGTATATACACTCTGCACGCGTCTCCTTTATTATAATATACAGAGTGTTTACCATATAGTCCACAGTTTTGACGGCGGTTATTTTTTCCAATCGAGTTTGAAACCCATCACTGCAGCGACGATGACTGCAGCTATAGCTCCATTTTATGCTTTTGATCGTGTATTTTATTGAACGTTTGAAGTGTAGGCACCTACCTGTTGGAATTATTGGTAAAATATATTGGTGGTGCAACACACTGCAAAGCAGTATATAACCTAAGCTCAAAAGCATAAATATTGTGATTTTGTTACCGTGTCATAGAAATACGAATCTGATGGAAATACCGATTTATGTAAAGCCACTAAAAGACGTATAGGGTTCCACATGGCCATTGGCGATTGGCCAAATTATATTGTGTGGTCAGGATTTTACAAATAACGTACAAAACATAATAATTTACTCACCTAAAACCGATGCCTAGCTATAACACTCCTTCGATAGAAACCAATTCCTTGTTGTTACCTTTATAAATATTAAAGTGAGTAACTCTTAATAATTAGGTGTCTATTATACAATTTAAAAGTACCTCAATATCGATATTTATGCTTTGAATTTTTTACGACTGTTTAATTTCTAAGTGGATGTACGATTTCGTTAAAATTTAAAAACCTAACGTAAACAAACACCTGCTGAATTCAAAAATGTTCCATTTCGGTATCCATACAGACATATTATACAGTCAATAGGCCTAAATTGTTTTTGACATTTGGGGGGCTGTAGCTCAGGTCTATACTTGATATTCGTACGATGCTTTTAAATTATAGTACCTGGTAGAATCATTAGTTTTTTTGGGGGCTATATAAACTAAGCCCCCCCCCCCCTATTCAAGTATGCAGAAGTGTACGACTGCGTATTGAACTGAGACAACAGGTTGTGTCATCGTTTACTGCTCCTCTTAAATAGCGATATAAACGGATAATTATTTATCGAAGTAATTATTTCAGCAATCGAATCGTCGATTTTCGAGCGAGTATTATGGTTTCAATATAAATTAACTACAGCTGTTGTAGGAGATCGATTTGTATACGATTAAAACGCAAACACTCGGTCACACGTGCACCCTGTATACACGAACCGTAGTACGCTACTA